TCACCTATGGAACTCTTTTCATCTTTGAAACTCTGTACCTATTAAACAATAATCCCACTTGTTTCCCCCAGCCCAACACCACCACTGTACTTTTTATCTATATAAATTTGAATATTGTAGGTATTTTATAAACATGGAATCATATATTTGTCTTTTTTTAAATGGCTTATTTTTCACTTACTGTAATGTCTTCAAGGTTCATCCATGTTTTTAGCATGTTTCAGAATCTCCTTTCTTTTAAGATTGAATAATATTCCACTGTATGTATATACCAGAGTTTGTTTATTCATATCAAAAGATACCTGCTTCTATCTTTTGACTGTGGGGAATAATACTACTATGAACATGGGTACACAAATCTCTCTTCAAATCCTTGTTTTCAGTTTTTTTGAATATATATTTGGAAGTGGAATTTCTAGATCATAAAATAATTCTATTTTTAAATTTTACCTTCCCCTGTCCCTCTATTTTTAATTTTTTGGGGAACTACCAAACTGTTTTCCACAGTGGCTACAGTTTTACATTCCCACCAACAGTGGCCAAAGGTTCCAATTTCTCCAGATCCTTGCTTGTTGTTTTCTTTTTTTAATAGTAGCTATCCTAATTTGTGTGCAATTAGTATCTCTTTGTGGTTTTTGATTTGCATTTCTCTCATGATTAGTGATGTTAAGCATCTTTTCATGTGCTTATTGGCCATTGATTTATCTTCTTTGGAGAAATGTGTATTTGAGTCTTTTGCCCATTTTGAATTTTTTTTTTTTGCGTGTGTGTGTGTGTGTGTGTGTGTGTGTGTGTGTGGTTGAATTGTAGGAGTGCTTTATGTATTCTGGATATTAGCCTCTTATCAGATATATGATTTGCAGATAATCTCCTCCCATTCTGTGGGTTGCCTTTTCACTCTGTTGATTGTGTCCTTTTATGAACATAAGTTTCTAATTTTGATAAAGTCTAATTTATGTATTTTTTTACTTTATTGTCTGTACTTTTAGTGTCACAGCAATAAATCATTGCCAAATGTAGTTTCATGAAGCTTTTCTTGTATGTTTCCTTCTAAAAGTTTTATAGTTTCAGGGTTACATTTAGGTCTTTTTTCTGTTTTGGGTTAAATTTTGTATATTCTATAAAGTAAGGATCCAAATGTATTCTTTCTCATGTGAATATACAGTGTTCCCAAAGCCATTTGTTGGAAGGATTGTCCTTTCTCAGTGCATGGTCTTGGTACCTTTGTGAAAAATCATTTGACTGTGAGGATATTATAGTGAGTGAAATAAGCCAGTCGCAAAAAAGAATTTATTTCTGAGCTCTCTATTCCTTTGTTCAGTATGTCTATCTTTATGCCAGTACCACACTGTTTTGATTACCATAGCTTTGTAATTACTTCTGTAATCTTGAAGTGTGTCCTCCAGCTTTGTCCTTTTTTTTTTTTTTTTTTTTAAGATTTTATTTACTTACTCATGAGAGACACAGAGAGAGAGGCAGAGACACAGGCAGAGGGAGAAGCAGGCTCCATGTAGGGAGCCCAATGTGGGACTTGATCCTGGGACTCCAGGATCATGTCCTGAGCCAAAGGCAGACGCCCAACCGCTGAGCCACTCAGGTGTCCCTGTCCTTCTTTTTCAATATGGTTTTGACTATTTAGGATCCCTTGAGATTTCTTACGAATTTTAGGATGGATTTTTCTATTTTTACAAAAAACATCATTGGGATTTTGATAGGGACTGTGCTGAATCTGTAGATCATTTTCTGTAGTATTGGCAGTTTATAACAATATGAAGTGCATGAACATGGATGTATTTTCATTATTGGTGTCTTTAATTTTCTTTAGAAATGAATGAATGATCTAGTTTCTCTGAATCCTCCCTAGCATTTTGGTATTGTCACTGTTTGTTATTTTAGCTTTTTTTACTAGATGTATAGTGATATCTTATTGTGGTTTTAATTTGTATTTCTGTAATGTATAATAATGTAGTGAATATGTTTTCAGGTGCTTACCTGCCATCTCTATGTCCTCTTTGAGGAATTATTTCTTCATGTCTTTTGCCCTTTTCCTAATTGGATTTTAATTTTTTTACTGTTGTTTTAGAAATTCTTTATGTATTCTACTTTGTCAGATAGGTGATATGCAGATATGTTCTCCCAGTCTGTAGCTTATCTTCTCATTATCTCAGCAGGGTCTTCCACAAAGCAAAAGTTTACAATTTTGATGAAGTCCAGTTTATTGATTTTTTTCCTTTAATGGATTATACTATTGGTATCAAGACTAAGAATTTCATTAAATCAGGGCAGCCCCAGTGGCGCAGCGGTTTAGCGCCGCCTGCAGCCCAGGGTCTGATCCTGGAGACCTGGGATTGAGTCCTGCGTCAGGCTCCCTGCATGGAGCCTGCTTCTCCCTCTGCCTGTGTCTCTGCCTCTCTCTGTGTGTCTCTATGAATAAATAAAATCTTTAAAAAGAAAAAGAATTTCATTAAATCATAAGTTCTGAATATTTTCTTTTATTAGCCTCTAAAGATTTTATAGTTTCACATTTAAAATTTTAAATCTGTGATCTATCTTGAGTTATTTTTTTTTAAAGATTTAAAATGACTTTTTTAGTCTTTTAGTCAAAGATTTAAGATGACTGAGCCACCCAGGTGCCCCTTCTTTGATTTCCTTAATCAGTGTTTTACCGTTTTTAGCATGTAAATCCTATACATGTTTTCTTAAATTTATATTTAAATGATAGTCTGTTTTTAATTTTGGTTTCCATGTGTTCATTGCTTTGATATAGAAATAGAGTTGATTTTTTTTAAGATTTTATTTATTCATGAGAGACATAGAGAGAGAGGCAGAGACACAGGCAGAGGGAGAAGCAGGCTCCATGCAGGGAGCCCAGTGTGGGACTCGATCCTGGGTCTCCAGGATCAGGCCCTGGGCTGAAGGCGGCGCTAAACCACTGATTCACCCGGGCTGCCCTAGAGTTTTTATAGTTGACCTTGCAACCTTGTTGAACTCACTTAGTAATTCTAGGATTTTTTTTTTTTTTTATGGATTCCATGAGATTCCCTACATAAACCATATGTCATCCACAAATAAGGATAGTTTTCCTCCTTTTCAGTCTCTGTGTCTCTTATTTCCTTTTTTTTGCCTTATTACACTAGTTATAACTTCCAATATCATTTTGGTTTTTTTTGTTTTTGTTTTAAAGATTTTATTTATTTATTCATGACAGAGAGAGAGGGGCAGAGACACAGGCAGAGACAGAAGCAGGCTCCATGCAGGGAGCCCGACGTGGGACTCGATCCAGGGTCTCCAGGATCACACCCTGGGCCGAAGGCGGCGCCAAACCGCTGGGCCACCGGGGCTGCCCTCCAATATCATTTTGAATAGGAGTGATAAGAACAGACATTTTTTCTTGTTCCTCCTTTTAGGACAAGAACATTCAGTCTTTCACTATCATAATCTTAATTCCTAGTTTTCTGAGGGTTTTTACTGTGAATGAGTGTTGAATTTTGTCAAATGATTTTTCTGCATCAATATAGTTGTTTGTTTTTTTCTTCTGCAGCCTGTTAGGATGATGGATTATACTGATTGATTTACCAATAATAAACCAATCTTGTTTCCCTGGGGCAAACCCCTCTTCGTTATGGTGTATAATTCTTCTTATATGTTGTTGAATTCTATTTACTAATATTTTCTTAAAAGTTTTTACAGCTATATTCATGATGAATATTGGTTGGTAGCTTTTTTCCCTGGGAGTACTGTCTTTGATTTTTTTTTTTTTTAAGATTTATTTATTCATGAGAGACAAGGAGAGAGAGAGAGGCAGAGTCACAGGCAGAGGGAGAAGCAGGCTCCATGCAGGAAGCCCGTTGTAGGATTCCATCCCAGGACTCCAGGATCATGCCCTGAGCCAGAAGGCATACTCTTAACCTCTGAGCCACCCAGGCATCCCAACTGTCTTTGATTTTGATGTTAGGTGGTATATGCAAACATCTTGAGGGAAGATAATAATAATGACCAGTAAGTCAGGAATGGATAACTTGAATGAAAATATCAGAAAGAATCTGGCGGGAGAAAAGAATTCAGGAAAGAGAAATAGTGTTGTTTGGCTGAACACTGTTGTTTCAGTGAGTAGTAGTATAATGGAGCAGATTCAACAAGGAGTGGGGATGAAGTCTGATTGTCATAGATGAAACAGTAAAGTTGGTTTGTGGAGGATCTTAGTAATGATGTGATAAGGATGGAAATATGTTGACCATAAGGGAAAAATTAAATATAGGAGTGTTAGGGAATAAATAGTGGAGGCAGATCCTGAACCTGGAGATGACAGGGAGAGATCTAGTAGAAGGATCAGTCTTAAGCAGGAAATTGAGCACCTTTTTCTGAAACTGTTAGGAAGGAGAAGGGGCGGTATGGAGAGCAGGGAATCCTTAGAAGTGATATTAATGTCTGGGAGTGCTTTGTTTGGGAGGAGGACGTACCCCTGAGGCCACAGGAATAGACCAGCACAGAAATGGGAACAAATATCCTTTGCTGACGCTCTGACTGAGATTAGTTGTGGTAATGAATCAGAGCTTCATTTAAGTCCTTAAGCCAGTTTTTTGGTTTTTATATGTTTTTCATTTTTGTTTTTGGCAAACTGATGGGGACCACGGTTAGGGAAAATCAGTGTGGAAACCTTTCTTTGATAATCCTCAAAACTGAGAAGTCCTTGGAGAGCCTTCTGGTCAGCTGCTAAAGTCCAGTCCTGTCCAGCATTGTTCATGAGAGGGCCTTTGGCTCCAGCCTCTATTGAACTACAGAGCCACAGACTGTCCAGTTTGTAATCAGTTCAGATTTAGGCTTCAGGTAAATCTGCATAATCTCTTCCAGAAAATAGAAGAGAAGGAAGAACTTCCCAGTTCGTGTTATAGTTCTGATACCAAAACCAGGCAAGGACAAGTTTCCATTCCTAGCATCAATCCTCTTCTTCATGTCTTCTTGTGCTGACACTTAGGAGTTGATTTCTGTTCTTGTTGCAGCTGCAGCCGGCTCCGCCAGGTTCAGAGCATCTTGACCCAGAGCAGCAAGTCTCAACCCGATGGGATCCTCTGCATCCTTGGTCAGTACTTTAACAAGTTGGGGTAACTTAGCTTCTGTTCAAGGAAGATATTAATAATAGTATCATTGTGAGATAAGCTTTGACTTAGTCTCCTCCCAGCTCTTGTTCCTGTGAAATCTGTTGCTGCTCTAATGAGGTCAGGTGAGATGTCAATGGGATGAGGAGCCTCTATCACAGGGCAGGCACTTTGTACATACTATCTCATTTCTCCTCACAGCATCCTTAGAAGGGAGCAGTGTTATCTCTTTTTTACAGAGGGAGAAACTGAAACAGGAGATGGAACAGACTTGCTCGGGACCATTGAGTGGCAGAACTGGGCATTTACTTGTTCTTTACATTTTTTATTATGAAAATGCATCATGTAATTTAAAAATTAAGACAGTGCTCCAATGATAATGAACAGAGCTTCGTAACCATCTCTACCCAATTTCACTCTTGGGAAATAGCATTGTCAGTTGTATCTTCTTTTTTAAACACAAATGGAAATATTTTATTCACACTGTTGTTAACCTAATTTTTAAATTTTCATTTGACAATAAATCCTGGCGATTTTTCTTTTTTTTTTTTTTTTCTTGGAGATTTTTCTATATCTAATTGGTCTTCTTTGGGTACATAGATACATTCTGAGTGACTTCAGAAAACAGATAATGTTGAGGCATGAGAAAATGAACATATGTAGTAAAATTGGTGGATAGCTTTGAGCAAAAAAACCAGGGTAGAATGTTGGAAGGTAAGTACATTAAATAGATTTGAGGAGGCAAATAGTGATAGGAGAGATTTTTTGCCTGTTTTGTTCACTCTTGAATTCCCAACACCTAAAATTGTGCCTGACATAGAGAATACCTCAATAAATACTATTGAATGAATTAATGTATAAGAGGTAGTTTCATGACACAGATGTTTGTGAACAGTATGGAATACTGACCAAAAGGGAAAGAATATAGGTGTTTTGTGTTTAGGAGGTCAACACTGATCTCTGAAAGATCAGATTCAGATATCTCATTTTCATTTATATCCATAGTATTGAGTCGTGGAAGTAGAATTGTTAGGTCTGGTGGTTTGTCTATCAACCACCCAATTTCCTTCCCAGAAGCAGACCATTACTAGGTTCTTATTTGTCTTTCCTCAGATATTCTCTGCATAATTTCGTGTTTTCACTTAACAGCACTTGCATTTAGGCTTAGGAGAGGCAGTGGGCAGAGTAGTTAAAAACATGCACTCTGGAGCTAGGCAGGTTTGGGTTTGAATCCTGGTTCCACTACTCAGCCCAGAGGTTAGTGGGTCTCCTTAAAAACATAGTTGTGGTGGACCTGGAATTCCTGCCAGAGGTTTCAGATGTTTAAACAACACTCATTGGATTCTCTCTCCAGCTCCAACTCTCAGAAGAGTGGAGGCTGTCTTTGCCATGAATTTACCTATGAATAAAAGCACCTGTTCATTACTTAAGCTGTTATATCAGCTGATTTTGTGTACCTCCATTTGAAATATGCCCCCCCACCAAAGTTTTGTTTGTTTAGTACTTCTGTACTTTTTGGCACTGTAAGATCCTCTAGGCTTATTTTGTGTATTTCTGTTCCAGTCCTAGAATCAGCATTTCTCTAAGGAGTGCTGGGGTTCCTTCTATTGGAGAATGATATTAGAAGCCAGGATCTGGGCATTGGATACATTCTTGTTACTACTGGGATGTCATTGCTTTTAGGCCATAGGGTAGCTGACAAAAATAACAAAATACTTATGTGTACATTACCTGTAAATGCTATGAGTCATCTGTATCTATATTAAGTTAAACATGAATTAATATTAATATCTCAAGCCTACCCAATTACCAGATAGATTATTCTAGCTTCCCCCTTTTGAATATCTATAAACTACTTCACCAGTAAAAAAATTGGCAGCCATCATCTACTGTCAGTTTACTGAATTCCAATAGACATATATATCCATATCAGAATTATTAACCCCTAGGACCCCTATGAGAAACAACTTTGTCAGCTAAAGCATGGTGCCTACATATAGTTTCTTTTGCCTTTAAGTTTACATGGTCAGTCTTTTTCATGTCTGCAATTTATGTGGCTGGAACTATTAGAAGTGGACATGCTGAGGCTAGGTCTACCCAGTCTACTATTTATTTTTAACTCTGTGGCCTTCTAAACTTTGGAACTTGGATAAGCGAGTCCATTCTGGCTTTTGATTCTTTTTCACCCCTCCCTTCACTGAAGCACTGAATGGGGTAGAACAAGGCTGTGCTGCTTTGATCTCAACTGAGAAGGGAGTTCTCTTATATTAGAATTCCTTGCCACCCTGGACCCCTGTGGTCTAAGTGACCATTACTTTTTATTTTTCACTTGTCTGAGCTACCATTAATGGTCCTCTTTCCCAGTTTCCAGCCATATTTCTATTCTTGGAGCTCTTTCTGCTCTAACTCCTTCCTCAGCCTCATGTAGACAGCTACCTACCACCTGCCTGTGACACGTTCTGTTTGCCGAGAGTCATAGCTCTGGGCTTTCATAGATACTCAGGAACCAGGTAGTACATATGCCCATGCCATTGATAGGTAGAAGTGGAAGCAGTATTGTTTAATTTCTTTGTCTTTGACCTCACCCCAACTAGATTGTAAGGTTCATGGGGGCCATTTGCAGGCATGTTTACCACACACTCCAGCATCCAACACAGTTCTGGGCCTTGAGCCTGATAAATATTTGTGAAATGATGGGTGTCATTTGTCCTCTTTTTCACTTCTTTGAGTACTTTTCAAGCCACCTTAATCTGCTTTTACTTATCTTTCATGTTTTAGTAAAGCTGTCTTTGAGAAGTGAATATTTTTTATCCCATATACCTATTCCATCTGAAAAATATTCCATGCCAGCACCTGGACCATGTTTTCTGCTTTCTATACTCAAAAATTGCATTTTAGAAATTAATAACTTCAATAATGTATGCTATTTAACTGTCTAAACTATATAGATCTTGAAGTCCAAGTAAGAGTACTTGATGCTTCTTTCACAGAGTTGCTTAATTTGGTTTCTGGATAAAACTGATGTGAGCTTCTGCCTTAATCATCAGGGTTTGGTAAGCAGGGGCAAATCATTAGGATTCATTTGTGTCCCATAGTATAGCTGATCAGAGCCTTCTTTGCTTTGCAGGAATTGATAGCAGGTACAATGAAGGCTGCAGAGAGCTGGCGAATTATCTTCTGTTTGGTTTGTACAATCAGAATACAAGTGATTTTGAGAAAACAGGGTTTTCTGAAGAAGTTCTAGATGGTAAGTATATATAGTATATGTAGTACACTTCTGTTAGTAACCTGCTGGTTGATACAAGACTAGTGACAAGTAGTTTTCAGAATATGTTTAGTGGGTAAAGCAGCTTTAGGGGAAAAAGTGTGCATCAGTTTGACTTTATATCTTCTTGGCAAGATAGACCAGTTTTCCTCTGAATTGCCCACTGCCTTTACTTGTTGGGGAGGTTCACATTATATGCTGTTGTCCTGTGAAAGCACATTCAGTTGTGAGTAAAGGATGAGCCTCCAGGCTACTCCTACAAGGGAGACTTCATGTGAATTTTCAGCTTAGGAACAAAGGCTCTTTGTCCTGCTCTGTCTTTGGGAATTGTTTTCTGTGTGACTTTAATTCATGAGGATGCCCATGATTACAATGGAGGCTTTCTGCTTACATTCCCTTTCTTCAGCTCTGAGACACTCTCCCTGTGTAGATGCTGTTGTGGGCTGATGCCCAGGAGCTGTCTCTGATATCACGTACTTAGCATCATGACTTGTCTGCCAGATGGATCAGGAGACACAGGAATAGACAAATCAGACTGGACAAGAGACAGTCAGCTCTTGTGAAGCAGCTGGGGAGTACATGAAAGCAAACATATGATATTGAATATTGACATTGGAGTAATCTTGCAGTGGATATTGTGCAATGGTTTTAAAGTAGGGGCAGTTTTATTCCCCAATGGACATTTGGCAATATCTGAAGACATTTTTGATTGTCAAAACCGGACAGAGTAGCTACTAAACATCTACAGTGCACAGGACAGCGCTCCCCTCCCCTCCCCCAACAAAGAATGATCTGGTTTAAACTGTCAGTAGTTCTAAGGTTAAGGAACCCTGGTCTAATGTGTATGAAAATTCTTCTGTGGTAAAATCCTTAACAATGTTTATCCTAATTGATTAAAGATTTCCTTTTTACTAGGAAGTTCAGAAAAAGCAGGCTGCAATTATAACTTCCATTAAATTTTTTTCCCTTTCAGGGACGCCTGGGTGACTTAATGGTTGAGCGGCTGCCTTTGGCTCAGGGTGTGATCCCAGGGTCCCAGGATCAAGTCCCCGCATTGGGCTCCCTACAGGGAGCTTGCTTCTCCCCCTGCCTGTGTCTCTGCCTCTCTGTGTGTATCTCTCATGAATAAATAAATAAAATCTTTTTAAAAAAATTCTTTCAATTTGAGATTTTGATTTTTTTAAAAGATTTTATTTATTTATTCATGAGAGACACACAGAGAGAGGCAGAAACACAGGCAGAGGGAGAAGCAGGCTCCATGCAGGGAGCCTGACGTGGGACTAGATCCTGGGACTCTAGGATCATGCCCTGGGCCAAAGGCAGGTGCCAAACCACTGAGCCACCCAGGGATCCCCTAGATTTTGATTTTTAAAAATGCTGCTTTATGCTGACAACATGTGCTGGTTTAGAAAAAGTTCATCTTGGAGTGCCTGGGTGGCTCAGTCAGTTAAGTGTCTCTTGATCTCAGCTCAGGTCTTCATCTCATGGTCCTGAGTTCCGGCCCTGCATGGAGCCTACTTAAAAAAAAAAAAAAAAAAAAAAAGAATTCATCTTGGCAGCCATTTAGAAATACAGAAAGACAGATGCTTATACCAGCCACATATTTCACTGCAGCCAAAATTGCTAAGGATATTGTAGTACTGAAATTAAGGAAATAGTTTAAATCCTCAAAGGTGTGCTTTTTGTTTATCATTGTCTTTATTCTGCCACGTGGCACAATGGTTGCTTATGAAATGAGTATTTTCTTTGACTGAATTAATCATTAATGAATTGAAAATGAATTAGTAAATTCATTTTTTAAATCCAAGTAGTTGGCAAGCTGAGATCACTGGCTTTATGCGTTTACATTGTGATCTCTATATGAGAGGAAAAGAAGCCTACATGAAGGATTTATTTTTTAAAAAGCTTTAAAAATAGTTTACATATTCATCCAATTTTCTTACACTTTCATCTTTTACTCTGTTAATTTAGTTCAGAGCAATGATATCAGAGTCCTATGAGATTCTGAGAAGGCTTAATTTTAGTAATTGTTGCACTATTTCTTTTACTGGATCCTAATTCCTTGTGAAGTGTTACACATTAGTGTAGAACACAGTCTATGCAGGAAACCCCCTCAGGCTCTCCAGGTGACTTCAAACTCTCATTCCTCAGCAGACAGTCTACAAGTGATTCAGGGCGAGGTTCTTAGAAGGCCTATATGAAGACCAACAGGATAAGAGGTGACCTGTGTCCCATCCCTTGCCCCCTTTTGATTCTAGTGCTTAACTGAGAGTCAGCAGTGAATATGCTACTCCAGACTGTGTTCCCTGGACACCTGCGTCTAACTGGGTGTGAGACACAGAATGATTTTTGAAAAATCAAAAGTGAGCATCATGGAGTTTTATTTTAAGAGGCCACCCAGTGGTGTGGTCAGCTGCAGTCCATATTCATCAGACTTAGGTTTTTGTAGAATATGGGCTGTCAGACATTTGTATAATATGGCTGTTACTGTGTTGGCATTGCCCTAACCCTGCTGTTTCAGATGCTCCTTGCCTCCACGCTTTGCTTACTTCCAGCCACCTCCTCCAGCAACTTCCCTAGCATCATCTTATTAGAGAGATGCCTCATATTGCTCTGGTTTCTGAGGAGCCATGCAATGGAGCTCTGCTTTTCTTCTAGAATTATGACTGCTTTCTTTCTCAATCTTAAAACTGCTTTAATATTCCTGCCCCATTTCATGGCTCTTCTATTAACTTATTTAGGTTTATTTGCACCCTTGGGATTGTTTTATTTATTTGACCCACCAATATCCGTGGTTATTCCTTAAGTCTGTAAGCTGCTAATCTATTTATAGAAGCTTTATCCACTTGGCCTCTACTTCCTTCCTCTCAGCCTTTCCTGTGTACAGAGTTCACCCCTTACACAGTAACCCTTCCCAGAGCTGAACAGTGATGTTGTCAGGCCCATGATTGCCTTGAACCGACAGCCAGGAGATTTAGACATTGATGTCTGCAGAAGAACCACCACTGGCCATATTTGATGATATTTCCCGCCTCAGTGGCTTTAGGCTATCAAGCTTCCATTTGGTATTATCTGTGTAGCAAAGTGCACAGCTAAGTCTGGTACCACAGATTTGACAGTGTTCAACTTTGCAAAAGCAGAACACCCCAAAGGCTGTTCTTTTGACTTATTCTGTGCCTCCATTGTCATAACCAGAGAGTCACAGTAGTGGGAGCATTTCATGGGAACTAGAAAATCCTTGCTCCCCACATGTGAGTGTTCCACAAGTCACTGTGAGGCAAGTTGCCTAGTTAAAGAACTTTCAGTTTAGAGCTTTGTTCCATGTCTCTGAAATAATTTTAGTGGTATTATTAGTTATGTGAGTAGAAAATGTGTAAAGGAAATGCCTTTGACAGTGTTGTGATTTAATTGTGTTTTCCTTACAGATGTAATTATATTGATTAAATCAGATAGTGTCCATCTGTATTGTAATCCTGTAAACTATCGCTATCTCATACCCTATGTGGCACATTGGAGAAATCTGCATTTCCATTGCATGACCGAAAATGAGGTAAGGAGAAAAGATAGAATAGGCACTTAGAGGCACTAAGGATACTCTTTCAGGAAAGTATAGATCTGGAACAGGAGGCCTCTTAAAAAAATCAAATTGCAGGATATCATTACACAAAAAAAGTTGTTCCCGTGGAACTTTTTATAATTCGTTATGAGGCTACTTTATAGATGAATTGTATGCTTGATAGACAAAGGGACTCTTCAAATTGGGACCTAGTCATAGGCTTGTCACCCTAGCTTCCTGTCCTGCTTGTTTATCACCAGCCTGCACCCATTCTCTTAGGGGGACTAGTGCCATGGATTGCATCAGGAGAGTTTGATAAGCTTTTTTTTTTTAAGATTTTATTTATTTATTCATGAGAATACACAGAGAGGAGAGAGAGAGAGTCAGAGACAAAGGCAGAGGGAGAAGCAGGCTCCATGCAGGGAGCCCGACGTGGGACTCGATCCGGGTCTCCAGGATCACGCCCCAGGCTGTAGGCGGCGCTAAACCGCTGAGCCACCCGGGCTGCCCTTGATAAGCTTTTGTAACAGTTCTGTTTGGATTTTTTTGGTATTTGTTTCCTTTTGGGCTCTTTTGAAGAATTTGGCTGGCAATCGGAACTTGAGATTTAGGATTTCATGGAAATGGTGACCTAATATGGATCAAAAACCTTTACTTCTTTTTTTTAAGTTAAAGATATTTATTATAAATCCTAAGCAATCACTAAAATAACACAACAGACTTATAATCTAACAAAAAAATAAAAATCATAAAAGATACTGATGTACAGTTGACCTTTGAACAACTTGGGAAGAACCCTTCTTTCCATATGAGCTTTTGGGGAATTTTTGAAGCAAGTTTTCTATCTTGCATATAGGTATCTCATCCATTTTGAGTGATTTTTATGCATGGTGTTAAGACAAAGGAATGACAAGTGTTTCTGACCAGCAAACACAAAAATTTGGCTTTGGAAACACCCTCTTAGGTGCAGTCCTCTATAAATGTCATTTGAGAGAACTCTGATAAAATACCAAGAAAGTAGGGGGTTTTGCATGATATCTCCTCAGAGCCTGTTTTCCTCTCAATTTCCTTCTTCAGTATGAAGATGAGGAAGCTGCAGAAGAATTTAAAATTGCCAGCTTTGTGGACATGGTTCGAGACTGTAGTAGAATTGGCATTCCTTACAGCTCCCAAGGTAAGTATCTGACAGCAAGCTGTATCAGAACCTTGCTTAGATGTATGAATCCAGTGTTTCTACTTCTCCTTCCATTGGAAGCATTCAGCTGGGAAATGCATTGATCTATTTTCACTAAAGGCAGAGAATCAAGCAGAATGAAATTTGGGGATTTTTTTGTGCAAGCTGGTACTCATAACTGAAATTTCTATAACAACACAGCAGGCCATCTAGTCAGATACAAGAACTGATAAGGGATTTACCATAGTTGCCATCTAGCTGTGCCACTTAACTATAAGTAGAGTATAGCTGTGGAGCCTGTTGTTAATAAGAAATAGTAATTCCGGTAGCTATTAAAAATATGCTGACAGTAAGGCTCGAAAATGATGTGTAAAAATAAAGGAAAAAATCAACAAGTTTAGTGGTGCTTATATCTTATTTAAAAAAAAAACTTTGGGATCCCTGGGTGGCGCAGCGGTTTGGCGCTTGCCTTTGGCCCAGCGCGTGATCCTGGAGATCCCGGATCGAATCCCATGTCGGGCTCCTGGTGCATCTCTCTCTCTCTCTCTCTCTCTCTATCAAAAATTAAAAAAAAAAATTAAAAAAAAAAAACTTTATGCACTGGAGCTATTGCTCTAAGAAAGGAAAATTTTTGATTGGGTACTTTTCCCTTGAGGAAATTGATTGGCTATGTTTCTTAAGGGGGAAGAGCCAAGTTTGGGTCTGTTAATAATTATATCCACTAAGTGATGCAAGTCAGATGTAATAGACCACTATTTATTTACTAACTTACTTAGGAAGCCAGAATGTGAATATATACTATAGAGAAATCTGCATTTATGTAACTTGTTATGGTTTGAATTTTCTTTGGCTTTCATTTTATATTTCTAGTTTTAATATCTAACCACTTTATCTGTTTTATTTTGCTAAATATGGCTGTTGCTGAACTTGTGAGATATGATGCCTAACCACATTAGATCAGGTGTAGACTGTTACATCCAGGATGGTATTTGATACATGTTGTTTTATTTGATTCCTGTAGGTCATTTGCAGATATTTGATATGTTTGTAGTAGAGAAATGGCCAATTGTACAAGCCTTTGCACTTGAGGGCATTGGAGGGGATGGATTTTTTACCATGAAATACGAGGTATGTATGAAAAGCAGTATGCCTGACTTTTGTCTGCCATTTGCTGTCTTTATGACAGGCCCCTACAATGTGAGTGTGATCATTATAACACTGAAAAACTAGCAGTGGTCTCTCAAGAGTATGGAGCAAGTTAAAGAACCTGAAATGGAGGCTGACGGAGGCGCTGCAGCCGGGAGCCCCGCTGGTCCGCGCTCGCCGCCGCAAAAAAAAAAAAAAAAAAAAAAAGAACCTGAAATGGAAAATAGATGCTATGCAAAGCTAGTCCTAAAACTAAACTCCTGTGTCCTTTCTTTTAGGAGTTTCTCCCAGTCCTCTTTTCTGTCTTTTCCCCATTCTGAATCCACTGTTTTTCTGTGTACTCCTGTAGCACTGTAGGCTGATTCCTCTTGCAGCTTTTTTTGTCCTGTTTTTTTTTTTTTTAAGATTTTATTTATTTATTCATGAGAGACACAGAGGCAGAGATCAGGCCGAGGGAGAAGCAGGCTCCCTGTGGGGAGCCTGATGTGGTACTTCATTCCAGCACTCCAGGATCATGCTCTGAGCTGAAGGCAGGTGCTCAACCACTGAGCCATCCAGGTGTCCCTTTTTTTGTCCTATATAACACATTTTCACACACCCCTGCTCATGTACCCACCACTCTTGGCCTCTGGATTGGAAGCTCCTTGAGAACAAAAACAGTTTTTTCATTGCTGTTCGTATCTCAGAAATTCATATAATTGAAGAACTGTTCAAGAGCAATGAAAAGGACAGTGCAGAATTTTGGATAAGTACAGCATACTAGAGGAATAAAAGGGTTATCTTTTGGGCAGCCCGATGGCTCAGCGGTTTAGTGCCACCTTCGGCCCAGGGTGAGACCCAGGATCAAGTCCCGTGTCAGGCTCTCTGAATGGGGCCTGCTTCTCCCTCTCTCTCTATGTCTCTCATAAATAAATAAAATCTTAAAAAAAAAAAAAAAAGGTTATCTTTTGTGTCAAGAACTGTGTCTTATTTCAGGCAGCCTGGGTGGCTCAGCAGTTTAGCGCTGTCTTCAGCCCAGAGCCTGATCCTGGAGACCCAGGATCGAGTCCCATGTCAGGCTCCCTGCATAGAGCCTGCGTCTCCCTCTGCCTGTGTCTCTGCCTCTCTCTGTGTGTCTCTCATGAATAAATAAGTAAAATCTTTAAAAAAAAAAAAAAAAAGAACTGTATCTTATTTCACTAATCCTTCCATCTAGGAGATGACGCATAGATCTTTGTTAACTGAATTAATGATTGAGTCTAGGAGGAGGCCACCCAGAGTGCATATTAAGGAGGATGGCCTCATAGGTTAGCCTCGTCACTATAGGTGTCTCCCAGTGAGATGACCTGCCCCCGGCACAAAAACAAGAAGTGAGCATTGACATACTCAAAATGGGCACATACTATTAGGCATAAAGTAGGTGGGACCTTTGGAGGTATGACCCAGGCCTAATTACTACCCTTCCTTCCAAGAAGTAGCGTTGTCCCTATCAGTTGAGTGAATTCTTGTTTGATTTCCACATTACAGGATTTCCACATCCTGTAATGTGGAAAGAACATAGGATGTAGGGTTGAAGAGAAGTACACCAGTTGGACTCTACGTTTCTTGCTCCAAACTATAGTATTCTCACATTGACTATAAGTAGCAGAACTTCAGCAAAGCTATGGGAGCTGCCTCTGCTAGGAAGTAAAGCTCTCTTATTTATTTATTTAATTTTATTTTTTGAGATGTATTTATTTGAGAGAGAGAGAGCAAGCAAGCACGGGTGGGAGGAGGGGCAATGGGAGAGGGAAGGAAGTAGACTCCCTGCTAAGCATGGAGCCTGCCACCATTTGCTCTCACTACCATGAGATCACAACCTGAGCCAAAATCAAGAGTCAGCCAACTGAGCCACCCAGGCCCCCCTCTATGCTCTTTAATTTAGAAGAGTAGGGACATGAGGTGGCTAGGTGGCTCAGTTAAATGTCCGATTGTTGATCACAGGTCAGGTCTTGATCTCAGGGTCTTGAGTTCAAGCCTTGCATTGGGCTCTACACTGGATTCTTTTTTTAAGATTTTATTTATTTATTCATAGATATGCAGAGAGAGAGAGAGAGAGAGGCAGAGACACAGGCAGAGGGAGAAGCAGGCTCCATGCAGAGAGCCCGACGTGGGACTCGATCCCGGGACTCCAGGATCATGCCCTGGGCTGCAGGTGGCGCTAAACCGCTGCGCCACTGGGGCTGCCCTTTACACTGGATTCTATGCTGGGTGTGGAGCCTACTTATAAAAAAAAAAAAAAGTAGTACACTAGGAGGCTGCAGGGTTAATGCAAACCAAATGGGGCAGGCCTTCTGGCTCCTGCCTTAAGGTGCATTACACTATATAGACATATCCAAAAGGAGGAAAATGCCCTTCCTTTCTTTAAGTAGGTTCCATGGCCAGCATGGGCCTTGAACTCATGACCCTGTGGTCAAGAATCTCACGCTCTACGTAGACTGAGCTAGCCAGGCACCCCAGTAAAATCCTCTTCCAAAAAAAATTTAAAAGATAATTCAGGGGATCCCTGGGTGGCTTAGTGGTTTAGCGCTTGCCTTTGGCCCAGGGCGTGATCCTAGAGTCTTGGGATCGAGTTCCGCGTCGGGCTTCTGGCATGGAGCCTGCTTCTCCCTCTGCTTGTGTCTCTGCCTCTCTCTCTCTATGTCTGTCAATGAATGAATGAATGAATGAATGAATAAATAAATAAATCTTAAAAATAAAAAAGATAATAGATAATGCAGATCTTTCCTGTAGGGTGGTGTTTTAATGGGGTAGAATGGACAGTGAGGAGGAAACTGCGCAGGTCATATAGTGAGGCTACTATAAGTCTTCTCTCAAGATCACTTTCTCTAGATCCTGCCTTTCTTTGTAGCTGCTAATTGTCATTCTCTCAAATACTTTCCTTTTGTTTTTCTCTCATTCTCCCCTACCTTGGTTCCCTTCCTTACCAGCCTATAGGATATGGAGCGGTATTCCACTCTGGGTCACACACCTAAGGCCTGATAACTGCCTGTGTCAGAAAGACTCTGGAGCCTTAATGAAGGCCAAGAGAAGGAGAACTACAGACACTTAAAGCTTAATTTTTAAAAATTCTTTTAAGAATTTTAAAGAGGTCATTAACCCAGAGGATGTTTTGTCTCAGATGTACTGTACTGCATGCCAGCATGAGAAAGGAAGCCATATCCACATAAGATTTACTTGGCATTTAGGCTGGGCCAAACTGAATTATAAGTATAGAGAACTCTTCCTGGAAACAGCACAGGGAAGTTCCTCTGATAGGGCTTTCCCTGCCTCCAGCTTCCTCTTCTTCAACTCTCCAGCTGCTGAAACTGTGACCTAGTAATGGAAATTTGTATCAACCAGCTCTCCAGGGAGAGAATTCTAATAGCAAACTTCTGAATAATGAGAGTAACTATAGAGCGGACATTCGTTTACCCTTTTATGGACAAACAGAAGATCTTCATATTGAAAAGTAGAGTAAAACTTATGAAAAGATTCAACAAAATGCAAGCAAGAAACCATAGCATATTAGATGCAGAGATAGGTCAGCATGCTTTTTAAAAAGATTTTCTCCAGGAAATGGAATTAAAAAATGAGAAAAATACCTCTTTTGTACCTTTTAAGAATGGAGTTTGTAAAAAGAGAAATGAGATACAGTAGGTAGAGCACACAGAAAAAGGGAGAAGGATGACATAGAAACTATTATAAGTCTCAAAATTACTAGTAAAATCAAAGTTTGCATTTAAAATTAGAAATTAGATTCAGCACTGTCAAAAAATCAAATCCAGGGACACCTGGGTGACTCAGTGGTTGAGTACCTGCCTTCGGCCCAGGGCGTGATTCTGGGAGTCCCAGGATGGAGTCCCACATGGGCTCCCTGTGTGGAGCCTGCTTCTCTTGCTGCTTATGTCTTTGCCTCTCTCTGTGTGTGTCTTTCATGAATTAATAAATAAAGTATTTTTAAAAAAATCTGTTGATGCTTAAAAAGCTGTTCCAGAAAACAAAGAGGTCAAATATATTCATTCAGTCTTTCGGAATTTAGAATATAAGGGAGTAGGGCTCCTGAATAACTGTCTTCTCCCTATCTGCTCTCCCTAAAACACTTTCTAGTAGTTGACAAACTCTGCTGAGAGCATAAAGCTTCCAGTTAGCCTTTCCATTTGGAAGTAAACCCAGGCAACCAAAGATCACCAGACATTTGATTATATACCTATAACTTGGGGGCACCTAGGTGTCTCAGTCAGTTGAGTGTCTGCCTTCTCCTTGGGTCATGATCCCAGGGTCCTGGGATTGAGCCCTGTGTTGGGCTCCCTGCTTGGTGGGGAGTCTGCTTGTCCCTCTCCCATTCTCCTTGCTTGTGTTTCCCTCTGTTGGTCAAATAAATAAATAAATAAATAAATAAATAAATAATCTAAAATATGTAAATAAATAAATACCTATAACTTTTTTTTTAATTTTTTTTTAATTTTTATTTATTTATGATAGTCACACACACAGAGAGAGAGAGAGAGAGGCAGAGACACAGGCAGAGGGAGAAGCAGGCTTCATGCACCAGGAGCCCGACGTGGGATTCGATCCCGGGTCTCCAGGATCGGGCCCTGGGCCAAAGGCAGGCGCCAAACCGCTGCGCCACCCAGGGATCCCCTAAATACCTATAACTTAAAAGGAAAAGAACAAGATTAAAAAAGAAGAAGAAAAAGACCAATTGAATAAGACCCAAAAGTAATTAAAATAGAGCAAAATTTAAGACATAAAACTCTCATTAGTATATCCAGACAAGATTTGGTGACCATGGAACAAGTGTTATGTTGTAAAAGATTAATATAAAGAAAAATAAGAGCTCTGGGAAATTATGATTGATAAAAATTAATAGAGGGGCGAGGAGGTAAAGTTAGGAAATTCTCTAAAAATGTAAAATTAAAAATTGAAGGAGTTAGAAAATAGAAGTAAAAAGTTAGAAGACATAGAGAACCAATCCAAGAAGTTTCATATCCAACAAATAATAGTTGCAGAAAGATAGAGCAGAGATATCAGAAAGAAGGAAATTTTTAAAAAAGAATAAACGTTTTCAGTGATAAAGAATTAAAATTTTTAAATTAAATGACTGAACAAATATAAATGGGAAGGAAAAAGCCTTAAGCCTGCCTGTGCCTTTTTTGAAACTAAGGATAAAAGAATATCACAAAAAGCTTCCAGAAAGAGAAAAGTAAGTCACTTACATAAGACAATAGGAACCAGATTTCTCTTGTTCCCAAGAGAGAACTCAACCTAACCAAAAGAACAAACAAAAAACAGAATATGTGAAGCAGTGGTTTTCAAGACACTAGACATCAAACAATGAAAAATAGTTATTCCTTGAGAGATAGAAATAGACAAGGTCACCTCTATGATTGCACTAGCTTACTACTTTAAGAAAATTTCCAGGCCTATGACACAGGGAGGGTGTACCCAGTGTATTTCCTAAGTTGAGAAGATGCAGTGGAGAGTCAGATGAGAGTAAGGCAACTAGAGTACTAAAAAGAAAAGTGCCCAGAGAGAGAACTCCAAAGATCTGCCAAGATTCCCCCACCCTGTACCCATCCCAAGTATTCAACAGAGTATCAATGCTGATTCATGTGTCAGGTTAACTACCCAGGGCAGTTAAAAAAAATCTGATGAAAAGTAGTCAAGAAGAATGCCTGATGCATGTTCAGGGCTAGGAACAGTATCTGTTCCCACCAGTTGGACTGGAAAAACACACAGTTCAAAGGGCACTGAGTAGAGTCCTCAGAGTGGTATTCAAAAGATGTACCAAAGTTTCTGTAAAGATAGCTTCCTCGAATGGGACAGCATCTTAATATGTATTGGTTCTAATATAATTGACAAAAATTTGATTTATTAATCACTGAGTTTTCACCAAGATAGTCATTTATGATAGTTCTGATTGTCTTAATGATATTGACTCTTTTATTTCAATGTTTTTGCCCTTATGTTGCAGTTGCAGGATGTGAGTTTGAGTCTATGGAATGTCTACAGCAAGATGGATCCTATGTCTCTGGAGAATTTGCTTTCAGAAGTAAGGAGCCAAATTGTATTTAACTTCTAAATATTAGAGCCACTTCAGTTATCCACTAACAGTATTTAACTTGAAAATGCAAGATATATTTTTGTTTGCACAGTTTCTTCCCTGATTGTTATCTCGAACTACTTGGGGATACAAGGGGACCTGGAAAAGTGATATTGCCTCTTTTGCTCTGAGGAAATCTCACCTGAGGCGAGACCAAGGCTGCCTACCAGGGTTTACATTTCCACTTAAAGACATTCTTTCAGTTGGGGTGGACTTCAGAAAAACAACACAGAGGGTATCTTTTTGTACACTTTCCCTGAAACAAAAAGATGAAAAAGATGGGGTTTGGCTTAAAAGAATCAAGAATTAGAGCAGAGGTTGGCAAACATAGGCTTTGTGTGCTTTCATCCTGTTAGAACTATGTTAGAGCTACTAGCAGTGTCATTGTAGCCTGAGAGCAACCATGGACAATGCTTAAATGAATGGGTGTGTCTCTGTTCCAAGGAAACTTTATTTGCAAAAATATGTGACCTGAAAAAAAAAATATATGTGGCCTGCCCACAAGCCATAACTTGCTGACTCCTGAATTAGAGGGTCGGGCATTAATGTCTGGACTTGGAAGAAAACATGAAGTTGGGTGGAGCAATTTGCAGTGAGGAGCAATAGATAAAGCTGAGGCTATAGGAACAGGTGCTGTGATTAGGCAGCTCATTGGTGTCTCTCAGTGGCCATGGCTAGACATGCATGGAAAAATAACAGTGTGTAGCCTTTTAATTAAATTATTATATTAAAGGATGCTTGGGTGGCTCAGGAGTTGAGTAAGTCTGCCTTTGGCTCAGGGCGTGATCCTGGAATCCCGGGATCAAGTCCCACATCGGGCTCCCTGCATAGAGCCTGCTTCTTCCTCTGCCTTTTTGTCTCTGCCCCTCCCTGCCTCTCTCTCTCTCTCTCTCATGAATAAATAAAATCTTTAAAAAAAAATTTAGTTTTATTAAAACCTAACAAAAGTAACAAAAATAACAACTATAGCCCAGTCTCACTTGTCAGTGTTAACGCCTGTATTTTAAGTAAAATATTAGCAACTAGAATCCAGTATCATGTTAGAATATTCTCTGATGAAGTACAACTTAATAAGGGTGTACTATTTAATTTAGTATCAAGAAATCTATTAATGTAAATCACTATACCAATTTTTCTCCTTAGAAACATTTGTGATGACTCTATAGATGCCTAAAAGGCATTTGATAAAATTGAATATCCATTCTGTTTAAACATTTTTTTAAAAGATTTTATTTATTTATTCAGGAGAGACACAGAGAGACAGAGACATAGGCAGAGGAAGAAGGAGGCTCACTATGGGGAGCCTGATGTGGGACTCCATCCCAGGATCCTAGGATCACAACCTGGGCCAAAGGCAGATGGTCAACCACTAAGCCACCCAGACGCCCCTCTGTTTAAACATTTCTAATTAAATAGGAATATAAAAGAATAATAAAACTGAACTTTTTGTACTTGGAAAAGACCTAATCATCATCATCATTAATCCATGGTTAGCCTAATTATGGAAAAAAGTGAAAATGTAAAAATTTATAAGAATGCAAAAATATAAAATTTAACCACAAAGAAAGAAGAAAAGTAGTTTAGGAGTTTCTAGAAGTGTCTGAGACCCATACCCCACTCGCATGCGGTGCTCTGAATGTGAGGATGCTATAGATCACACATGGAGGCTAAACACAGACTGTATTTTTTTTAATAAATCTATTTTTTATTGGTGTTCAATTTACCAACATACAGAATAACACCCAGTGCTCATCCTGTCAAGTGCCCCCCCCCCAGTGCCCAAAACCCATTCACCCCCAGCCCCCGCCCTCCTCCCCTTCCACCACCCCTAGTTCATTTCCCAGAGTTAGTTAGGAGTCTTTATGTTCTGTCTCCCTTTCTGATATTTCCCACGCATTTCTTCTCCCTTCCCTTCTATTCCCTTTCACTATTATTTATGTTCCCCAAATGAATGAGAACATATACTGTTTGTCCTTCTATTGACTTACTTCACTCAGCATAATACCCTCCAGTTCTAACCACGTTGAAGGAAATGGTGAGTATTTGTGATTTCTAATGGCTGAGTAATATTCCATTGTATACATAGACCACATCTTCTTTATCCATTCATCTTTCGATGGACACCGAGGCTTCTTCCACAGTTTGGCTATTGTGGCCATTGCTGCTATAAACATCGGGGTGGGGATCCCTGGGTGGCGCAGCGGTTTGGCGCCTGCCTTTGGCCCAGGGCGCGATCCTGGAGACCCGGGATCGAATCCCACATCGGGCTCCCGGTGCATGGAGCCTGCTTCTCCCTCTGCCTGTGTCTCTGCCTCTCTCTCTCTCTGTGTGACTATCATAAATAAATAAATAAATAAATTAAAAAAAAAAAAAAAACATCGGGGTGCAGGTGTCCTGGCGTTTCATTGCATCTGTATCTTTGGGGTAAATCCCAAACAGTGCAATTGCTGGGTCATAGGGCAGGTCTATTTTTAACTCTTTGAGGAACCTCCACACAGTTTTCCAGAGTGGCTGCACCAGTTCACATTCCCACCAACAGTGTAAGAGGGTTCCCTTTTCTCCCCATCCTCTCCAACATTTGTGGTTTCCTGCCTTGTTAATTTTCCCCATTCTCACTGGTATGAGGTGGTATCTCATTGTGATTTTGATTTGTATTTCCCTGATGGCAAGTGATGCAGAGCATTTTCTCATGTGCATGTTGGCCATGTCTATGTCTTCCTCTGTGAGATTTCTCTTCATGTCTTTTGCCCATTTCATGATTGGATTGTTTGTTTCTTTGGTGTGGAGTTTAATAAGTTCTTTATAGATCTTGGAAACTAGCCCTTTATCTGATATGTCATTTGCAAATATCTTCTCCCATTCTGTAGGTTGTCTTTTAGTTTTGTTGACTGTATCCTTTGCTGTGCAAAAGCTTCTTATCTTGATGAAGTCCCAATAGTTCATTTTTGCTTTTATTTCTCTTGCCTTCGTGGATGTATCTTGCAAGAAGTTACTGTGGCTGAGTTCAAAAAGGGTGTTGCCTGTGTTCTCCTCTAGGATTTTGATGGAATCTTGTCTCACATTTAGATCTTTCATCCATTTTGAGTTTATCTTTGTGTATGGTGAAAGAGAGTGGTGAGACTGAAGAAAGAGAAATTAAGGAGTCAATCCCATTTACAATTGCACCCAAAAGCATAAGATACCTAGGAATAAACCTAACCAAAGAGGTAAAGGATCTATACCCTAGGGCAGCCCCGGTGGCACAGTGGTTTAGCGCCGCCTGCAGCTCAGGGCATGATCCTGGAGACCCTGGATCGAGTCCCATGTCAGGCTCTCTGCGTGGAGCCTGCTTCTCCCTCTGCCTGTATCTCTGCCTCTCTCTGTGTGTGTCTCTATGAATAAATAAATAAAATCTTTAAAAAAAAAAAAGGATCTATACCCTAAAAACTATAGAACACTTCTGAAAGAAATTGAGGAAGACACAAAGAGATGGAAAAATATTCCATGCTCGTGGATTGGCAGAATTAATATTGTGAAAATGTCAATGTTACCCAGGGCAATTTACACGTTTAATGCAATCCCTATCAAAATACCATGGACTTTCTTCAGAGAGTTAGAACAATTTAAGATCTGTGTGGAATCAGAAAAGACTCCGAATAGCCAGGGGAATTTTAAAAAAGAAAACCATAGCTGGGGGCATCACAATGCCAGATTTCAGGTTGTACTACAAAGCTGTGGTCATCAAGACAGTGTGGTACTGGCACAAAAACAGACACATAGATCAATGGAACAGAATAGAGAACCCAGAAGTGGACCCTCAACTTTATGGTCAACTAATATTTGATAAAGGTGGAAAGACTATCCATTGGAAGAAAGTCTCTTCAATAAATGGTGCTGGGAAAATTGGACATCCACATGCAGAAGAATGAAACTAGACCACTCTCTTTCACCATACAGAACTGTATTTTTTAGAACATTGGAAGCATTTCTGGATTCAGTTGAAAGGGACCATTCAGAAAGACACTTTTAATTGCACCTGAACCAATAGTGACATCTTCTAGCTGAAGAAGCAATGGTGGTAATCACCATGGGCTATAGGCCAGATCCTTCCCTGGTTTTTCTGACTTCCCATGAGCAAAGTCTGCTGAAGTTCAGACCCTACCCCCAAAATTCAATTTAATGATCAACAGATGTACAAATGCAGTAAGACCCAGACCCAGATCAGTTACACATCAAAATTACTTAGATTCCTACTTTAATAGCCTGATAAAAGAAAGGGTAAACTTTTCCAGAGGTATTATGTACTTCAGTTTCTCAGTAAAAACTTTTATAACAAAATGTCTAGTATATGATAAGAAAAATAAGATACGAAGCAAGAAAATTTCATTATCAACAAACCGTCCATTCAACAGTCAAGGGGCACCTTGCTGGCTTAGTTGGTAGAGCATGCAGCTCTTGATCTCAGTGTTGTGAGTTCAAGCCCCACATTGGGTGTAGAGATTACTCAAAAATGAAGTCTTGGAACACCTGGGTGGCTCAGTGGTTACGCATCTGCCTTCACCTTGGGCGTGATCCTGGGCCTGGGGATTGAGTCTGACATCAGGCTCCCCACAGGGAGCCTGCTTCTCCTCTATCTGTGTCTCTGCCTCTCTCTCTGTATCTTTCGTGAATAAATAAATAAAATCTTTAAAAAAAATGAAGTCTTAAAAAAGAAAAACAGTCAAGAGAAATACAAACATAGTGACATTAACTAATGAAGAATTTAAAATAACTAATAAAAATGCTAGAGAATTTCAGCAGAGGGGCACCTGGGTGGCTCAGTGGGTTAAGCATCTGACTTCTGCTCAGCTCATGAGCCCTCATCAGGCTCCCTGCTCAGCAGGGAGTCTGCTTCTCCCTCTCCCTTTGCCTGCTGGTCCCCCCTGCTTGTGCTCTCTCTGTGAAATAAATAAAATCTAAAAAGAATTTCA